GAAACTTTTTGTTTTGTTGAAATAGTGATATTAACATTACTCTAACAAATGCATCCTAAATGCTGTATGCTTTTGCATAGCATGCAAGAAAGTTGATACTTCCTGACCTCTTCTAGATCTCCGTTCTGCCTACATGTGATCCAGCCTCACCTGTAGTATGAAGTGTATTGTGCATTCCCAAGCCAGGTAGTAGCATATTTAAACATGATTTTAAAAAATACCTTTCAAAATGGCCCATGAAAAATATTCCATTTAGACGGTAAGACTGCTATCCCAAGTTGTCCCTGATAATCTATTTTGCATTTATTTATCAGACCGTTAGGCCATTCCTAACCAGTGGATTAGACATATCCATATCCGGGTCTGGGGATTTAGCTCAGAGGCATAAGCGCCTGCCTTGCAAGCAGGCAGTCGTGAGCTCGATCTCTGGTACTGATAAAAAAAAAAAAAGACTTATCCATATCCAAAAAAATAAAAACATAATCCAAAACAATGTCATGATACTTTTCTTTCTATTCTTCCAATTTTAATTCTTATTTTTAACCTATTTTTCTTGATTCTTATATTCAGTGAGAGGTAGAGGTCAATTTCAGGTCCTCTACAAATAGACATCCAGTTTTCCCAGCACTAGTTATTGAAAAAATTGATCTTTGCCACTGTGTGTTCTTAGTACCTTTGTCAAAAATTAGCTTTATTTCTGGGCTATTTTGTTCCACCAATCTATGTTTCTGTTTTACACCAGTTGCTCATTTTTGAAGTTATGTGGTACAATGCCTCCTGCTTTGTTCTTTTTGCTCTAATTGCTTTGACTATTTGAGATCTTTTGTAGTCGTATACGATTTTTTTAAGAGAAAGGATCTCCCCATGTGCCCATGCCGACCTCAAGCTTTTGGGCAAAAGCAATGCTCCTTTCTCAACCTGTTGAAAAGTTGGGACTTCAGGCACCACTGTGCCTAGCTTCTCAGCAAAAATACCAAAATTATTTTTCCTGTTCTGCAATTAATATTATTGGTATTTGAATATGGATTGCACTGAATCTGTAGATTGCTTTGGATAGTTGGACACTGTAGCATTATTAATCCTTCTAATTCATGAACACAGCATGTCCTTCCATTTATGTCTCAGATTTCTCTCATCATTGTTTTAGTTTTCACTGTTGAAATATCTTGACTCCTTGGTTACATTTATTCCTAAACATTTTTGTAGCTATTGTAAGTGAAATGGTTTTCCTGGCTTTTCAAATAATTCACTGTTAGGATGTAGAAATGCTCCTGGTTCTTGTGTGTTGATTTTGTGTCCTGTAACGTTATTGACTTTGCTTACTAGTTCTGACAGTTTCTTGGTGAAATCATGTAGGTTTTCTACATAGAAGATCATGTCATCTACAAACAGAATGATTTGACTCCTACCTGGCTCTTTTATTTCTTTTTCATGTATGCTCTGCCTAGGACTTCAAGCATCTTTGTCTATTCCAAACCAGTCTCCCATGATTCTTTCATGGCCACGTGATTATTATTTCACACTTGCCCTGTTTCCTAGGCCCACAGGGTCAGTGTTCTGAGCAGTATCACTGATAAGTATTTAGACACTTTGTTCTCTGACGTCCTCAGTCCAGCCTCTGCGTTGAAGCATCAGCTGTTTCTGTAACTCCAACTAGCTCCTGATCTGGCTTCTTTATTAATTTTTCCTAAAAGAGACTACAGAGGGAGATAAAAAGGCCCACTGAAACCAACAACATTAAAATAAATAAGGAATGGCGATAAGAATGAGCATATGAAAAGTATAAGTAGTATTGAGATCAATTTCCCACAATCCCCATATAGTGAACACATTTGCCAAAGCTTATAATGTGTATTTATCCACTCACTCAGCAACTGACAAATTGCCCAGGAATGTGTGGAAGATGTTTACTTATAGGGGAGTCAATTCTGCCTCATTCTGCTGTTTTTCTCTTTTTGGAGGAGCCATGTTACAATGAAAAAAATAGATTACACTACATTTTTATCTCCTTATTTTAGATATCAATTTTTACTCCCTTTTAAAAGCTTCTGGAGAAGCATCCATAAAACAAACATAGCAGGTACTACCTTTAGTGAATGTATTACCATGTCAGCTTAGTAGAACACAAAAGCATATGTCAAATGAACTACATTTCTTTGAGACAGGGTTTCACTATATAGTTCAGGCTGGCCTTGAACTCTTTATGTATCCCAGGCTGAGTCTGAACTTGTGGCAATCCTCCTGTCTCAGCATCCCAAGTGCTAGGATTATAGTCATATACCACTGTGCCCAGCTGAATTGTATTGTAGTACTGGTACTATGGAACAGGAAAAATGACTCTGGGTTGCCTTTGTTAAATAATCGCATTGGTTGGTTGGTTGATGTGATGCCTTGCTCCACAGTTAACTGGAGACAACTCCAACCAACCTGTGTTGTCACCTTTTGCACATGATAGTTGTATGTTAGGACAAATTTATGGCATATTCAGTAGCATCCAAGCTTTAACCAGATACCACATTAGAGAACCTTGGTTAAATTAGGTTCAGGGTTACAGAGAGAAATGAAGCCACTTTGACAGAGAGCTTGCTGCTTTATCGTAGAAGCAGATACAGTGAAATATAATTAAAAATAGACAAACCGGGCATGATGATGCAGCCTGTAATCCCAGCACTTGAGAGGCTGAGGCAGGAGGATTGTTGCAAGTTTGAGACCAGCCTGAGCTACGAAGTGAGCTCAAGTCCAGCTTGAACTGTATAGCAACACCTTGTCTCAAAAAGACAAAAAAAAAAAAGGCAAAAATGATTGCTTTAATAGATCTAGCAGACACAGATTTTTGTTTGTTGGCTGTTTTTACCAAATACTCTAGACTCATTATCTAGCACAAATTTTTATGTAGGTACCTCAAAAATACTAAGATTTAAAATCCTATTCAGTGTACACGTAAAAAATTTCCCTTACTAAAAAGAATACCATGATATAAAATCAGTCTTTTCTGGAGAATCCAGGATGTTTCATTCTGACTACAACAGAACTGGAGAGGGCTCCCAGAGGAGATAATGTCTTGAATAACAGATAGAGGTCCTTGTAAGAGTTTTGGTTCGTATACAGAGAGTTTAATGCACATGGAAGTTAGATACCAAGCCCACCAGTTTATCTTGTCCTCCAGCAGAAATTTGTCCTCACTGTTACCGTAGCTTCCAGCAGGGACCTCAGGATTGCTGCTTTCCTTTGATTTGTGTACATGACTGATCGACCTGCCTCTCCTTCCTGTGAGCATAACGGTGCTTGTAGGTAACTAACGTGTGTGTAGCATGATGCACAGTGTAAGGAACCCTACCCTGACATTTAATCTGTTTCCTTATGAAAAAAAGACAATTGACCTGAGGCAAGATATTTTTAGTTGTCTAAGTTGTGTGTGTGCACACACACGTGTGTACACGCAAGCTATGCATGTGTACCACATTTTCAGTCTCTGTAAAATGTGTTAAGTAGCGAGTGACTGTAGGCTTAGCCCTTGAAGATTTACCAGGAAAGAGGACAGCTGCACAGCAAAGCTGCTGATGATAATTAAAGAATAACCCGTGTCACTCATAAGCAAAATAAATCAAACTCACATGTATAAGTACCGTATAGACTCCCTAGTGTAAGAAATGGTAAGAGTACATAAGAATTTATGGTAATCATGATTCCCCATTACATTACTTTGAAGTATAATAAGGTTTTCATTAGAGTTGGAATGGTTTTTTCCTGGTTTGCTTGATTTCATTATGTGTGATGGTATGAACAGCTATTTTGAAGAAAACAAGACATTATGACAGCCAGTGCTGATTTAATATCACCTTACTCTGAAGTCCTACCATGCTTTTGTTGTTCTGTTTCCATTGGTTCTATCATGTTGTATCTTATTGGATTTCATTATGTGTGATAGTATAAACAAATTTTTTTATGGACAGTGAGATAATATAGTAGCAATTGTTCGTTTTCTGTTACTTGGTTCTGAATGCACTGTAATACTTTCATTCTCTTGAACGGTTTTATACTATTTTGTTATGTTTGATACTACTGTATATGTTTGATATTATTGTATATGAAGTTATCCTCAACTATTTCAAAGAAAAAGACATTATGGTAGCTACTGTTACTTACGGGTTGTCTTGTGGTGAAACATTGTGTTGCTTACATTGTTCTGATCTGCTTTGTTATGTCCTCTTTTGTCTTAATCTCTTTAAAATAAAAAAAAATTTTTTTAAAAAGAATAACCCATGCCTTTTGCCACTCAACAGATTCAACTATTTAAATGACAGCCAGTTTGCTTAGCTTTTTAATCCTCATTCTTTATGGGCCAGGAGTTAATTTCTTGTTGAGAACATTGCTTTTGATTGTTATTATCGCTGATACCATTATAACATCAGGTATGGCATGATGATTGAAAGTCCCAAGCAGAACCATGATGGATGAGCAAAATTGTTGTATTTAATGTCAACTTCAACATTAAAAGTGAGGAGAGACTATTTTTGAAACACCATGAACTTGGAGTTTTTAACAAGGCCATCTTGCCTGTTTTGAGGTTGACAAGAAAATGATAATGCTTTCTTTGGTTCGAGGGAGCTGCAAGAAATGTCACAGCACTCCCTCCTTGTGAGAAATAGCTCTCAACAGGATGGATTGGGAGGGAAGTTAATAGGCTCCCCATTGTTCCCTGCATTTTTGCCAGGAGATTTCATTAGCGTAAACACTGAACCCCTTGTCATTTTGTTTAGCCACTTGACCCTGGTGATTATCAATTCTGCTTGTGCTGTGATCAAGTACAGCAGTGGCATGCATGAGGCAGGCCTGATTATTGGAAGCAGAATCATTGCTGACCCAGTACGAGATTAACTGCTCTTTGCATTCTTTATTCGGGGACATTAGCACTGTCTGGTTATCTTGCTTCAGTTGAGAGATTTGAGACAATAGCGATGCTGATGGTAATGTTGGCAATTTCCTTGTTTGTTTTGCAGGTCACGGCCAGGGGCTTTGGGCCGCTGTTACAGTTTGCCTACACTGCCAAGCTGTTACTCAGCAGAGAAAACATCCGCGAGGTCATCCGCTGCGCTGAGTTCCTGCGTATGCACAACTTGGAGGACTCCTGCTTCAGCTTCCTGCAGACCCAGCTCCTGAACAGCGAGGATGGCCTGTTCATGTGCCGAAAAGACACTGCATGCCAGCTCCCACATGAGGACCATGAGAACTCTGCAGGAGAGGAGGAAGAGGAAGAGGAGGAGACAATGGATTCAGAGACAGCCAAAATGGCTTGCCCCAGGGACCAGATGCTGCCAGACCCCATCAGCTTTGAGGCCACTGCCATCCCAGCAGCAGCAAAGGAAGAAGCCTTGCTACCCGAGTCTGACACACCCACAGACACCAAGGAGAGCTCGGAAAAGGACACACTGACACAGTACCCCAGATACAAGAAATACCAGCTTGCATGTACCAAGAATGTCTATAATGCATCATCACACAGTACCTCAGGTTTTGCAAGCACATTCAACGAAGATAACCCTGGCAACAGCCTTAAGCCAGGACTTGCAGTGGGGCAAATTAAAAGTGAGCCACCCAGTGAAGACAATGAGGAAGAGAGCATCACACTCTGCCTGTCTGGAGATGAGCCTGATGGCAAGGAGAGAGCAGCGGATGTCGAGATGGACTGCAGACAACCCAGCCCTGCAGCTGCCCCTGCCACTCCCACTGGGGCCACCTGCCCGGATAGATCCAGGAGTGTGTCCTCGCCTTCCTGCTTAAGGTCTCTATTCAGTATAACAAAAGGTGTGGAGTTGTCTGGCCTACCCAGTACATCTCAGCAGCACTTTGCCAGGAGTTCAGCTTGCCCTTTTGACAAGGGGATCACTCAGGGTGACCTTAAAACTGACTATACCCCTGTCACAGGGAATTACGGACAGCCCCACGTGGGCCAGAAGGATACTTCCAACTTCACGATGGGGTCGCCTCTCAGGGCACCTGGGTTGGAGGCTCTCTGTAAACAGGAAGGAGAACTGGATCGGAGGAGTGTGATCTTCTCCTCCAGCACTTGTGACCAAGTGAGCACTTTAGTGCATTCATATCCTGGGGTGAGCAGCGTGGACAAAGACCTCTCGGAGCCGGTGCCAAAGGGTCTGTGGGTAGGGGCTGGCCAGTCCCTCCCTAGCTCACAGGCCTACTCCCATGGCGGGCTGATGGCTGACCACTTGTCAGGAAGGATGCGGCCCAACACCAGCTGCCCGGTGCCAATCAAAGTCTGCCCTCGCTCGCCCCCACTGGAGACCAGGACCAGGACCTCCAGCTCTTGCTCCTCCTATTCCTACGCAGAGGATGGGAGCGGGGGCTCACCCTGCAGCCTCCCTCTCTGTGAGTTCTCCTCCTCACCCTGTTCCCAGGGAGCCAGGTTCCTTGCCACAGAACATCAGGAGCCAGGCCTGATGGGCGATGGAATGTACAGCCAAGTCCGACCCCAGATTAAATGTGAGCAGTCTTACGGAACCAACTCCAGTGATGAATCTGGATCGTTCTCAGAAGCAGACAGTGAGTCGTGTCCTGTGCAGGACAGGGGCCAGGAGGTAGGGAACCCACATAAATTCAAGCATGTAACCTACTTACTCTCTGAGTCCTTTATCTGGACTTTCCCTACCCGCTCCAGATTGCTCTTATTTGCCAAGATTAAAGGTGTTAGTAAGAGACCTGCCTCCTCCGTCCGTAGAGGTATGATGCTAACAAAGTGATTCCAAATTAACCACTTTTGTCTTAGCAAGCACTGAGTGTTTGATCTGTATTTCAGTATTCAGTGAGCAGAGGCAAGCTGCTTAGTGGAAAAAAAGCAAATCTAATGCGTAAAAGTGTATTTGGATACTTCAGGTCTTCCCCTTCCTCCTCCCTTTTCAAACTCTGTCCCCCATCTGCCCTGAAATGATGCCACATCCGTCACCCTCATTCTTGCTCTTTACCCCTTCAGTATGAAAGAAAATGTAGTGTCTCTTTCAAAATTGATTGATAGAAACTAGACAGATCAACACGAAGCAAGGGCCTTCCCAGCACCTTGTAAGTTTTCCTTGTCAACAGAGAAACCCAGGGTCATCCTGTGTCCATCATGATGCAGGCAATGGAACGCTCACCATCCATCCTGGTCCCAGGGTCGCCACAGAAGTGCCTCAGTCAGCAAACGTAACTGTATAATGGCTCATTTTCCAGGCTCCCACAAATGATAGGAAGTCATTTTGTGGAATGTTAGCTTCTTCTATCCTGAAAGCAAAGTGCTTTGTAGATAAAAATATCCAAAGTCTCTACCCGTGTCTCAGTATTTCAGGGAGAGGAACAGAGGCACGTCGGCCGCATCATAAATAAGAGTCATGTGACTGCAGGGACAGAAGAAAAGGATTCCCAATCCTATGTATGTCTCTGCTTTCTCAGTAACATGATTGTTCCTTAGAGAAATCCCAGGAGTCTCTGTCAGGCACAGTCTTGCTGATCGACAGGGAACCAACCTGAGACGCTAGCTGTGTCTCTGACATGTCTCACAAGCAAAAGTGAGTGCACCCAGTGACAAGTCCTGCTCCCATGTCTGAACAGCCCAGGAAGAGAGGAGCACAGTCTTCGCTGGGCCAGTGTGCTCCTCTGTGCTGCCTAGACATTTGCTTTGGTGAGGTAGAGGATAGTAACCCAGCTAGACAACAGCAATGCCATATGGAGAAGGTGGCCTTTCAGGCCATCATGAAGTTTGTTCAGCCTCTGCGATGTCGGTGGGCAGGAAGCATACAAGGTTATAGTTTGGGCATGTTTTAAACTTAGATTTCAAAGCTGCCTGTGCCAATTGCAGAAATGCCCTGTGGTCACTTCCTCTTCTTTGTCAAATAGTTCTGTCTCTGATGTTCTGCTACTGCCTGGCACAAATGAAGACAGACAGAAAAACACTGAAAGTAACTAAGAGAAAATCTGAATGGGAGTGTTCCTATCCGGACACACCTTGTCCTGTGGGGTCAGGATGGGGCTCGTGCTCAGTGCCCAAGTCAGACTCGCAGCTGTGTCGCTGGCCTTGATAGAGGTTCTCTGAAAACAGGGCAAAGTGGGGCGCTTTCTGTTCTCAGTCATTCTTTCCTTTTAACCACAGCTTTTGTGATATTTGCTTTTTTCCTTTGAAACTACGAATAAGCGTGTCTGATGCAGAGGGCTGCTGACTGGGTCAGTTTTATCCCCTTGCTTTATCTTACCAAGGATGGGTGCAGCAAGAAAGGACAAATGGCCCGGGTCTTCGTTTTTTACTCTCCCTGAAGAGGAGCTCCGCCGTTGAGCACAAGGGGTTTTCTTCAGACATGTGCATGTGTCCGGGAGACTGTCAGTTTCAGATGCAGCTCCTTTTCCCCTGTCACATCCCAAAAGAGAATTTAAACTACTTCTTGGAACTCATTGACATCAATAAGAACACATACATACGTTTTTCCTGTGTCCAGGCCACGTCAGTGTCCCCCTTGGAACTGAAAATAGTGACTCAGTTAGGAGGAGAATTCATTCAACCTGTGACATGCTCATGAACAGGACTAGTTTCCCCTCGAGACACTCCCATGCTTTAAAAATTAGTTTTATTTTTACTTTTCAAAACAGTATTTTTGTATCTCTAAACAGAAAAAAAAAAAAAAGACATTTACCAAAGCTCTTTGTCACTTTGGAAATCACTCAGCTCCTTTCATTAGCATGTTTCAGACAGAGCGATAATAAAGCTAACTTCGAAATGTTAGTTTTCCTGGTATGCAGGAGGTTAGATTTTCTAGAACTCTCCCAGGGACTTAGCACGACTGCTCCTCTGGGAGTTAATAACGTGATTTCAGGAGTTCCTTTCACCCTGGTGGAAATGTCCTCAGGAGTACACGGGAGGCGAATGCTTCCCCATGTGAGTCACAGGATATTTTCTGGGCTGATCTAGAAGAAGCCAGCATCTGTCGGGCCACTTCTCACCCAAGCTACTCTCTCGGGGACTCCAGGTGCCTCCTCTTCCAAGTAAACATCGAGATCACAAGTCACAAACAAAACATGAGCTTCCTGCCCACCACCAGCCGCCACACTAATGCTTCAGGTGTTCTTTCCCAGCCAATTCTAGAAGGAGCCAAAATGTTAATCAGGCATGGTGGCACATGCCCGTAATCCTAGCACTCTAGGAGGCTGAAGCAGGAAGACAGCAAGATTGAACCTGTCCTGGGAGAGAGATCGGCAAGACCCCGTCTCAAAATAAGTAATTTAAAAATCCAGGGATGTAGCTCAGTGCAGAGGCCCTGGGTTTAATCCTCAGTGATAAAATAAAAAGTGTTGACATAGCTCACATTCTATAAGATATTCTGGTTAAACCATTTTAAATATCTCTCCCACCTCAAAAACATTGACTTCTCCCATTCTCCCTAGTTTTAAAAAAACTTAAATTAGCACAGTGTCAGTCTTTATCAATAATCAGCATTGGTTTTAGTGCCAACGATTGACTCCAGAGCCTACCACTAAACTACACCCCATAGTTTTTGATTTTTATTTTTTGTGGGTTTTTTGTCTTTTTGAGACAGGGTCTTGCTGTGCAGTTCAGGTTGGCCTTGAGCTCACTTTGTAGCCCAGGCTGATCTCCGAACTCACAACAATCCTCCTGCCTCAGCCTCCCGAGTGCTGGGATTACAGGCGTGAGCCACCATGCCCAGCTACACCCTGTAGTTTTTTAATCAAACTGTGGCATACCAAAAGCCAAACAGGCCAAGTTGAACAGACTTTCTCTGTGCCTGCAACAACATGCAACGTACTTTTCCACGTCTCTTTATTTTAATGACATCGTCATACTGTATAATTTCCAGCAGCTTCCTTTCCACATACCTTTTCACTGTATGCAGCTGCTAGGTTAATCACTCAGCGCCAAAACACGCTTACTAGCCAAAGTTGCCATAAATCACAGTTTATTTAGCTGTCACCTACTACCAGATAGTCCAGTGGTCTCCAGTTTCTTCCTCCCAAAAGGCTGAAGCAGTCCGCGTACTCTCAGCAATGCCGGAGTACACGTTTCCCCTTATTCTCGCCACTACTGTTTGTCACTAGTCTGTAGTTTTTGCCAATTTGATAGCAAAGAAATTTACCCTTGTTTCTGCATATTTGCCTTTTTTATTTGCTTTCCTGTGAATTGCTGTCATCTTTGCCTGTCGTTTTTGTGTTGTTCTTCTTTAAATCAACCGATAGGAACCTTAATCCTTAGTATTAAGAATGTTAAAGGTTTCACGTAGACACAATATTGCCTCTACTTTCTGCTGGTCTATTTACTTATTTGTATTGTTTTCCCATATAAAAAATTTTAAATGTTATCTGCTCAGAGTGTCAGCTTTTGATCTTTATGCCTCCATCTGTGCTCCTTCAGAAGTCGGTTTGGAGCCAGGCTTGATGGCACATTGCTGTAATCCCAGCACTTGGAAGGCTGAGACAGGAGAACTGCCTGGAGTCCAAGGCCAGCCTGGGCTACACAGAGAGCTCAAGGCCAGTCTGAACTCCATAGAAAGACTGTATGTCAAAAAAAGTCAGCTTGGAAATTTTTTCTGCGATGAGGGAAACAATGAATAAGTCAGACTGAGTGAAAAAAGCAGTGTGCGTAAAAGGTCCTAGTTTGTTTCATAAACATAGATATAAATAATGAAATCAGTATGGAGAGTGAGATAAAATTGGAAGCAAAGGTGGGGAAAGGAAATAGGAAAAAATTTATTTCTAAGTATATCTGTAATGTTTGTATTTTTTATATATGTATGTCTCATACAAGTTCATGTTTTTAACTGAGATATAATTCCCATACCACAAAATTCACCCCATTTGAAATAAGGGAGAGCTCTAATAGAAGAGAGATGGAGGGGGAGGAAAAGGAAAGAAAGGGGGTGAAAAGCACTAAGATGTGTTGCATACATGTACATTAAGATGCAATTTGCATGTATTATATACAACTGAGATGTATTATGTCACAAGGGTCTGATTAAAAAGTAAAATTTGAAATAGAAAAGGGAAGAAGTAACAAATGTTTACTTCCTGTCAGTTTTCCTAGAAATGTATTTTAATGGCCTTAAAGGCAAATTTACACTTTGAATGTATTTGTTTTCTCTGCCTTAAAATGATACACTGACTGGGCGTGGTGGCACACACCTGTAAGCCCAGCACTCAGGGGCTGAAACAAAAGGATTGCCATGAGTTCAAGGCCAGCCTGGACTACACAGTGAGACCCAGCCTCGAAACAAACAAAATAGTAATAATAAATAAAATGATACACTGAGACCAGGGCTGGTTGTGCAGCCCTGTAATCCCAGCACTTGGGAGACTGAGGCAGGAAGATCACCGCAAGTTCAAGGCTATCCTGGGCTACATAGTGGGCTCACACACAGTCCAATCTGCATAGTGAGCATATTCATCAAAAGATTTTGCCCTGCTAAAGTGAGCAACTTAATGACTTTAATGTATTTACAGTGTTGCACACATATCTCCACTAATTCCAGAACATTTCATCATTTGAAAAGGAAATGCTGTACTCATGAGCGGTTACTCCTCATCGCCTGCTTCCCTCATCCCCAGG